ACAGAATACTGTGGTGTTCACACATGTAACAATCTAATGTTCGAGAAAGATCACATTGGTACTTCTGCCTCCTACATAGCTCGGTTGATTATGTCAAAATTAAAGAAACTGCTTGAACTAAGGCCCGATAATATAATTAATAGAGTGTTACATACGAAGTCCATTGAAATATCGTATGGTAAAGCATGGAATGCAAGGAGAATTGCGATGACAAAAATATTTGGTGATTGGGAGGTCTTACGCGACACTACCTCAATATCTTGATGTGATCAAAAGAAGCAATCATGGATCTGAATACAAACTCATAACCAAAGAGATTAATTCGGGAGTTCATCAATTCACTCTGTATTTTGGGTATTTGGTCCTTCAATCGAGGGATTTAAATTTTATCAGCCGGTTCTTAGCATTGATGACACACACTTATACGGTAAATATAAGGGTGTATTGCTTGCCGCTATAGGAGTAGATACAGATGGCGGCTTATTTCCTTTGGCCTTCACAGTTGTGGAGGTCGAGAACAGTGAAAATTAGGAGTGGTTTTTTTTTTCTTGCATTCAATTATATATTTTTAATGTGTTGCCTCCTATGAAATTTACTTTTATATCTGACAGGATGAAAGGTATTCCAAGAGCATTGTATCGGAGATTTGGCTCTCATCACAATCGTCGCTATTGCTTATGACACATTAGAGCTAATTTTAAAAAGAGTTTTGGTCAGATACATTTACAAAACCTTCTTTGGCAAGCAGGTGTTACACCCGAAACGATTATGTATGATCGGATACAGGATCAAATCAAGGCAATATCTCAAGCTACATATGACTGGATTGAGAGTAGTTTGGGAAGTGATTACGTTGACCGGTGGGAACTAAGTAAAGATAGAGGGAATCACTATTGCATGATGACAACTAATTATTCTGAAAGCTTCAACGGTGTACTTAAGGAGGCTTGAGTAATGCCCATACATGCGTTGGTTGCGAGGACATTTTATAGACTAAATCATTATTTTGTCAAGCGGCGAGAGGATGGAGCAAACTGAGGGACGTTGTTGACACCAAAAAATAAAGAGATTGTAGGAGCTTGTGTCAAGCAGGCGAGATTGACTAAGATTGTTAGATTTGCTATAGATGAATGACATGTTACAGACAGTCACGGTTATAATTACACCATCAATTTACGAAGGATACAATGCGCATGCACATGTAACATACCAGAACTATAAAAATTTCCATGTTCACATGTTATAGCCGTTACGACCAAGCAATTTGGGGGTGCAAATACATCATATTATGCATACGCTTCCGAGTGGTATCAATCAAACCACTATAGAGATTCATACAATCAGTGTTTTTTATCCCATTGTAGATAGTCGTTACTGACCACCCTACAACGGGCCGCCCTACAACGGGCCGCATGTGTTACCTCCTGAATATAAGAGACAAGTCGGACACTCGAGATCAACACGCATAAAAGGTACAATGGATGAAGGTCGGGAAGGAGCTAAAAAAATATGTGGATATTGCAGACTATCGGGCCATAGGAGATCTCATTGTCCCACTAATCCAAATAAATAGCAATTAATCAATACACTTTATTTAATTTTTAAGTTTATCCACTTCATTTACAAGTCAATGATTATATACGAAATCTGAGATTTTATTCTACTTTTATTTTTGCATACATCATAGCACTGACACATTTATATCATCATATGTATAGGTATGGAGGTGGGTCCATTGATGTATGAGGTCCTTTATGATTAAGATCGACATCAATCCACGAAGATAGACTCTGGGGAGGTAAATTATATTGGTAGTTGTAAATTGTATTTTCAATCATATCAATTATTCTAAGTTATTGATTGTTACTGAACATTTGCACTGTTTAATGTATGCAGGCCCCGAGCACTACTATCGTTGATCATATACTCGTGCACATTCGAGCTGGGACTTGACAGACCCACAGGTCTAATTTTATGTCCATCAAGCAGGCTTCTTTGAGTGCTCACAAATTAAATGTGTGAGACTTGATTGGGCTCTCTTGATGGCACTGATTGAACGTTGGAGGTCCGAGACAAATACATTCCACCCGCGTCAAGGAGAGTTGACGATTACATTACAGGATATTGGGGTTTTGCTTGGACTCAGAGTGGATGAAGATGCTGTCACGAGTAGCGACGACTTTAATTGGGTAGGGAAGTGCAAAGAATTGTTGGGTCATGTTCCTCATATGAAGGATGGTAAGATTAAGTTTGAATGATTGAGAAACAATTACATGAATGTACTAATCGATGCAACCGAGGAGATCATCAAGATGTATGCCTGTGCATACATACTTCATATGATTGGTACTATTCTTTTTCCAGATTCCACGAAGGATTCGGTGCACGTGAGGTGGTTGTCACTGCTGGAAGATCTTGAGGATTATGGAGAATTATCATGGGGGAGTGCCGTGTTAGCGTATTTGTATAGGGAAATGACCAAAGTGGCACTTGTTCAAAACAAAGAATTCAAGAGTTGTCTCACTCTGCTATAGATATGGTCTTGGGAGAGATTGCATTTAGGTTGCCCAGATTTGAGAGAGACCCGTGCTCTCGATGGCCATATTCCGTTAGGCTCCAGGTATTACTAAGTTATTTGGTAATATATATGATTACATGTATTTTTATACATTTATTTTAATCTATATTAACCCATTGTATATAAAATAGATAGAATGTGCCCAGATCTTAGCATACCTCACCAAAGGGTCATGAAAACTTCTACAGAAACGAGCTTGATCAAATGGAGGATGAACATGTATTAAATCATAATATCTAAATATGTCATTCTCTGCTTCCCAAAATACCGAAAAATCGAAACATGAACAAGTCCGTGACATATTAGACTAAGGAGAAATAAGTACTAGACCTTCTACTCAATCCAATATGCTAAGCGTCAAGCAATATAAAACGAAGGCACAGGTCCCTGATCACAGTAGCGAGAATATAATAAACAACTCAGAACAAAATGATACATATTACTAATAAAATATCATCCCAGACATAATATTCGAGTCAACATATTCTAATACAAAACAATCCAACTAAAATACTAGAAAATATAAAAATACATTGATCAAGCGAAAAAGGAAAGTGCTACAAAAGTAAACAAAGACCATCGAACAACTAAAGAAAATAACTAAGTTTCGGCTTCTTATTCTACTTTGTCTGCAAGACACTCCTGCTGAGAATACTATGGCTCTTACCGAACCTGTCCGTCCTCTAAATCTGACGTACAACCTAAGAGAACAGGAGTACATCAGCGTGCATGACACACTGTAATATCCCAAAAGGAAGAATAGAAATGGTCGAACGACCAATGCAATAACAGATGCAAAAATAGTAATGACAATAGAAACATGCAACTAAAAATCTAACAATCTAGATGCAATCTGCTACTAGAGTGTAACAATCAGAAGAATCCATAAACATCCAAGTAACAAGGTCATACAACTAGATGGAATTAATAGTTAAAAATCTATAACACGAGACGTAGTACGTCGAGCGAAATAATCCAAATAAGGAAACCCTCATGTATATACCATATGTCTCAATCCAAATAAGGAAACCCTCATGTATATACCATATGTCTCAAATTATAGATAATTAAATATTAATCCCAATCTATGTAACCATATGTCTCAAATTATAGATAATTAAATATTAATCCCAATCTATGTATGAAAAGAAATATAACTAGGCCACATCTCACCATAATCCATAATCATCCACGGTGATAACTTATATAAGGTGATAATAAAGGAAATTCTAATTGTAGATATCAAATAAAGCCTACCATAGGACACAAAAGCATATAATTCTTACTTTACATATTATTTGAATTAGAAAAGAATATTTATATATATATAATCGGGTCCCTGTAAACTTGTTCGGGGGCCACGCCTTCAAGTTAAGTATTAGCCTTTTGGCCCATGTATATATATAACTCGCGATATCAGGAAAGTGCATGTGACCGTTTATATACATGTTATATTCTCTGTTTAATTCCCCTTTATAAACCCTATGTTTTTCAGTTTAATTTGAATAACCATACATGAAATATTGTACACTATCCACGGAGTTACCGTAGAATGATTTCTGTAAAACTATGAAAATAACTGTGACCCATAACACGTCCGATTAAGAGTACATCGTCTAGTCGATGTTATAATAGTAATAGTCAAGAAAACCTCATATCAGGATATAGATATCAAGGGAACTCGAAACTCCTCACATCGGGATATCGATGTCGAGTGAGTATAGCAATGCTTTGAAGCACGCTTATAAATCATACTTTTAACAGGAGTCGTCTTCATTCTCCTATTGGATAACAACTAGATGATAAAGTAACAAATTCTCATATAGTCATTCATCAAAAAAATCTGACACATGTAATAACATATCATAGTCTAATCTATGCATGTAATTCATAACAGATCTAAATATTGAAAGACGAGTCAATTAAAAATGGAATTTTACACATACTTAATTCACAGTAAATATAAGAATTGTAATGAATAAATATCGAGAATCGTGATCTTGCGCATAATTAATTTACGATAGATCTAAAATTGTACTGAATAATAAATGAGAACAAGGATCTTGCATCGGGTTTCCGTCGAACGAATCGATGCTGTCGTGCGAGGCTATGACAGAGGTGATGTCGCTGGTCAGAGGGACGAAAGCAACACAGGCAGCTGTGGTGGTCAGAGAGGTGGTGGTTGAGGTGCTGGATCTGGTTGAGGGTAGATGGCTGTGATGTCGGTGACGTAGGCGGCACGAGATGGGGACGGTAGAGCTGTCGGTGGTGATGTAAGGGGCCGAGGGAGACGAGCGGGTGAGGGAGGAGGGCTGATGGACTTAAGGTGAGCTCGAGAAGGTGTAGTTGATATGGGGAGGCCAGCGGGTGAGGAGCTCGGAAGGCAGAAGGCTGATTTCAGGGCTGGGCTTAGGCGTTAGCGATGGGGCAGGTGGTGGAATGTGATCGGTGGTGGAATGAAGGGCCGGCGAGGAAGCGCACGACGTGCGGTTGGCATTGGAAGCAATTGGCGTGGGGGAGAGCGGGAGAGGACTGCTATGGTGAAAGGGAAACGGAGGAAGAGGGAGGGGTGAAGGGTAGCAAGACGTTAGAAATGACTGAGGGCGGCGAGGAGGAGGTACGGTCGGAGCTCGGTTTGGGGGGCAGCGCGGTGCTGTGGAGGGGCTCAGTGTGGGCGAAGGCTGCTGTGGCTGCGCCTGTTGCTGTGTTGGTGGCGGCGGAGGAGGAAAGGGGCAGGCGGCTAGTGGCTTGCCTGGTGGCAGGCTGAGAGGCTGTTTGAGGGGAAGAGGGCGAACATGAAGGAGTTGCTGGAGAGAGGGAGAGGCGAGTGGGGAGGAGCGGTTAGACGGGACGTGGATCTGGCGTTGGTGTATGAAGCGGAGGCTGGTTTGGAGGAGGGAGAGAGCGGTGGTTAAGGCTGGTCCCCCAGGTCTGGCGCGTGGCTGTCCGCTTGGGTAGGTTTGTGGGGAGGGAGAGTGGAAGAGGGAGGTAGTGAGTTCAGATGGTTGAGGAGCCGTGAGGATGAAGAGAAGAGAGAGAAAGAGGAAGAAAAGGGACGGCTGTGGCTAACGGGAGAAGAGAGAGTAGAGACGAGAGGAAGACGAGAGAGAGAGAGAGAGAGAGAGAAGGGGGATAAGGCGTTAGGCTTGAGGGTAGCGTGAGAGAGAGAGAGAGAGAGAGAGAGAGAGAAGAGAGAGAGATGAGAGAGAGAGGAGAGAGTGAGGTATTTATAGATTAGGGTTTGGGTTTATAATTAAAACAAAATTAAGAAAAAATAGAATTATTAGGGAAAATATTTACAATCAATATGTAACAATAACAATAACATAAAAAAATATTAATTTAAAAGTTTTCACTAGATCAAGTTAATTTATAATTATCAAAATTATTAAATAAATATAAAATTAGATTTTTAAATTGTAGAAAATTCTAGAAAATCGAAAAAATATAAATATCCTTTTGATAATAATAATTTACTATTTAAAATACCAAAAAATTATTTAAATTAGTATAAAAAATTCATGGTCATTACAAAATATATTCAATAATTATATTATTTATTACTGATATATGCTTTACTTAATCTTTTTATAGGTCAAGTGGATGCCATATGAACTAGTTTTAGAGTCACTACCAGATATTTGCAGGGAAGGTGAGGATGTATGGCGTGCTCGCGTCCCGATCATATGTTTTGAGATTGTCGAGATGCACGTGCCTGACCGTGTGCTCAGACAATTTGGGCTACAACAACATATTCTGGTCCCTGTGGAGAGAATAGAGCGAAATCCCAGAAAAGGTGCACATCATGCAAATTGGGAATATATTCGACATGCTTACATCGGGAGGTGAGAGTTGAGGGAGGAACAAGTAGTGATGGAGAGGGCTGACGCACCTGACCTAGGTGTGTATTTGCGGTGGTATTGGGGGATTACTCAGAGGTGGATATTTGAGGAGAACAAAGCCCCTAAGGAGTACATACCAAGAGGCCCGGTTGAGACAGAATTGGTAAGTGTATAAGCAAAATATACAGATATTTTGTGAGTTTTATTTTATTATCATCCACTTGATAATAATTTTCTTTCGGTTTTTATCTTATAGGTACAAGATCTCGAAGAGCTTTCTACTATGACGCATGATGCATTGCGAATGACTACCAAGGCAGAGCTGAGGAACACATTCCTTCTTATGATAAAAAGGATTCGGTCCGCTCTTCAGAGGACGCGTAATGCAAGACGTAATGGACGTGAGGAGCAACTAATTGAGTATGGGTGTTGACGGTTCCGAGGACACACGGGGCATGCTCAAACAGTGCACATGATGAAGCTGGCGGCTCACAGCAGACTCAAGCCGAATGTTCACAACCGGTTCGAGTTGACGGAGATGTCATGCACTCCCAACTTCATACACAACCGGACGAGGATCTCATCCGAACTCACATCGAAGGTGAACGAGGAAGGGGGAGAGGAAGAAGAGGGAGAGGGAGAGGGAGAGGAAATGGAGTTGTAAATATTTGTTAAGTTTCGATATACTTGATAGGATTTTTTACGTTTGAAACTAAATATTATGTATCCGATTGAGTATTGATTATTAGTATGTGAATTGCATGGTATGTATCCGATTGAATATGGATTTTTAGTAAGTGAAGTGAATGTTTATGTAGGCGTCAAAAAATGCTAATAGATATCCCAAGCATAGAGAAGATCATTCAAAAATTCACAAGAAAGGATTTCATACTGTTTTGAAAAAAAAATCAAAACAAGTATGAACTGCCTCGCCAGCGAGGCAGTCTTTGCTGCCTCGCCAGCGAGGCAGTCTTTGCTGTCTCGCCAGCGAGGCAGTCTTTGCTGTCTCGCCAGCGAGGCAGTCTTTGCTGTCTCGCCAGCGAGTCTCGCCAGCGAGACAGTGTTGAAATAGTCAAAACTACATTTGTAACTGCCCTACACGTGTCCATTAACTGCCAAGGGACGTGGGAAACATCATGAGCGAAAATCACGTGGATAACTGCCAAAATAACGGAGTTTGAAACGTGGAAGAATAGTTACAGCGAGAAACTGCCATTTTCCGAGACAGCATTTACTGTCTCGCTGAGCGAGACAGCAAATTTACTGTCTCGCGGGTCGAGACAGCAAACGCTGTCTCGCCCAGCGAGACAGTAAACACTGTCTCGCCGTACTGACTTCTTCGATTGTTAAGTTTTTGCAGTTACAGACCCTTGAGGCTATAAATACCCCCCTAGGGTCACTTCTGACGAGGATCGAGCATTTTGTTAGAGCATTCCAGAGCAGAGAGAGCAGAGATTTGAGTTCTTTTCTTGCAACGCCTTGAAATTAAGCTTCGACTTGATTTTAAGAAGAACGACTATCTTACTTCGATAAGATATCGTTTCAATTTCTACTTCGATAACGAAGTTAGAATCATAAGCCCCCTCTTCACGATCTGTGAATCGGCGGTCCACGAACCAAAGCGTTCCCGGCACAGGCAAAGTCCCACGAAAACGAGAATTGATAGACGATTTTCGTGTTTGTTTCTCAAGAGTTGTAATTTTTGTTTTGTTGTGTAGAAAAAGTCTTATAAAAAGATTATTCTTTCGAATTTGTTGTAATCGAACAAAGTTATAATGAATTCCACAGCAGCGACTTTTGAACCAAACAAGCTGGCGACCACAGTGGGAGCCAGCGGTCTCGCTGCCGAGACCGCGGTGTCGCAACCGATCAAGATCATCATCAATGAAGAGATCGAATACGAATTCGATCAGGCGAAATTTGAGGAGTACTTGTCATCCTCATCATCAAAACTTTCTTCACCCCGCAAGTGTAGGAAAGTTTCATCTCCTAGGAAAAAGCTCAAGTCTGCAGTGTCAATGAAGACCGCAGGTGAAGGTCCATTACTATGCGGACCTAAAGTCGAGAAAACAGAAAATGACCCAGTTGCCTCAATGGCAAGATAATCATATTTCTGCAAAGCTTACGACGGAGGAATGGACTCTCGTCAAAAGGGCCCGTTCAACCCTTAAAGAACGGATACAAAGGCGTAAGGCGAAGGCTGCCCAAACTCGCGCTCTTCGTCAACAAGCGCAAGGAACCAAGAAAGAGGCGGTGACTGAAAGGCCACCGAACAATCGTAAAGTCTGGATGCCAAAAACACCACAAGCATATGTTCCGGGCCCATCTACTACATCATCGGTGAAACCCTGGGTTAGCCCAGATTTGTCTAAGTTTAAAGTGACAATGGCAGATCGTCTCGGTCCTTCGGTTGATGATCGAGGCAAAGCCCCAGTCAAGGAACAACCATGTCCGGCAAATAAACCATTAATGGTTTCATATGCAGGGGGTCGTAAACACCCTCCTGTCAGAACTGCACAAGTCCAAAACGAGAGAATACCAGTTCACTCTCGTTTAGGACCTCTGAAAACTCCACACCCGCAAGGGGGTGGATTTAAACATTCAACTTTGGATCGCTCAGAGGCGACGACCAGTCGTCCTGGGCATGTTAACAAAGTTCAAAAACGAAAGATAGGTTGCTCGAATCACAATAATGATGAGCTGTACTATCAGAAAGATAACTCAAGAAAGAGAGTTGTCAGAGAAAATGAGTCTCATTGCGCTTGCGAGAGACTCATTAAAGCAGTGTTGACAGAATGCGGATGCTCTAAGAATAATTCAACAAGAGTCTCCGTATTTCAAAGATTGTCCAACGAAACGTCAAGACCCAAAGCAAGACGTTTCAACAAAAGGAAACCTGTAACTCGACAAGATGAGTTAGGGTCTTTCTCAAAGGATGGCGCGATTACAAAGAAGAGCCAACCTACGACGAGATTACAAGAGAATGCACGAGGGGTTATCTTCGGACGAAGAATTATCAGACACTTGTTCTGCTGTCGCTTCTGACGACACCACATCCAGTGTTGGACAAGCCAGAGAATCATTTGCAATTACGCCAGATCAATTGGCTCACATGCTGCAGGAAGCGTTGGCTAAACAACGCGAAGAAATTAGAGCTGAATTCAAAACCGAAATAGAGTTGACCATGCAGCAGATGCGGGATTTGCAGGTTCAGCAACACCAACCGGAATCAAGCCAAAGAGCAGAATCCAGTCGGCGTAATGAAGAGGATGAGACGATATTTGAAGATCCTCCTCCAGATAAAGACAACTCCGGAAGCGATCCGACCAAGTCAGCCACTCAACCTCCACAGATCTATTTGAAGAAAAGCGAGGAAGAGGACAAGAAGATGCACGATCTTGAGAGCAAAGTCAACGCTTTGATGACGGCTCAAGAAGTGAAGAAAACGGGCATCCCATACCCGTACCCGAGGGAGTGGGACCTGATTCCTTATCCCCAGAAATTTAATTTGATTAACTTTACTCCTTTTGATGGCAGGGGTTCACCAACTCAGCACTTGATCTATTTCAAGTCGCATCTCGGCGCAATATCTGGGAACGAAGCCCTGATGGTCCGGTCATTCGTAGGAACCCTTCGCGGGCCTGCCTTCGATTGGTACCGACGCCTTAAGCCTGGGAGTATCACTAGCTGGGCAGACATGGAAGAGTTATTCCTCACCAATTTCTTCGACGACGACACGGAAGTCTCGATCGGCACGTTGTTGGATGAGAAGCAGAAGGATGGGGAATCGGTTGATGTCTTTGTCAAACGATTCCGGGACAAAGCGGTGAACTGCAGAGATCCACTCACTGAGGAATTTATTCTGCAAACATGTCATAATAATCTGTCCTTGGATGTATTAGAAGTGGTGGGGGTTGTTCCCTCTAAAACTTGGAAAGAGATGAAAGTAAGAGGTGAACAAGCTGAACGCTTCCTCAAGAGAAAGAATTTGGAGCGAGGTTTGCCACCAGCTAATAATCAGAATCAAAATCAAAAGCAGAACTTTAACCCTCGAGGCAGAGGAAGAGGGTCTGTAGCCGCTGTGGACGCACATCAGACGTCACAACAGCCACCGCAACAACCGCAACAATCATCCTTCCAGTTGGCGCCAAACCAGAATCAACAGCCTTCGAAGCAGTTTAAGAATTCTGAGCCCAGATTCCCAAAGGAATACTCTTTCAAAGATGATGAAGTTCCGGTCATCTTCAAATACTTGTTAGAGAACAACAAGATCAAGCTTCCACCGGTCACAAACCAAGAAGAAGCAACGAAGATCAATGACCCAAAGTATTGTGCATATCACAGAAGGGTCCACCATCCTACTAAGACATGTTATGTTTTAAAGGATAAAATTCAAACATTGATTGATGTTGGTATTGTGACACCGAAGCCAAAGGAGAAGAAGGTAGGCGCAAACGCGGTCTCTATTAGCTTCGGATCGGTTCCTTTGTCCTGGTTTCAAGCCGAGCCAGTATCAAAGGTCAAGATGCAAACCATCAACGATGACCCTCATGGACAGCGCCAGAAGGGGCTCGTATCTCACACAGCCCCCAACGGCGAAATCCTTTGGGTTCATCCGGATTTGCTTGAAGATGAACAGTGGACGACACCCACATCAAAGAAGAAGTCAAAAGGCAAGGGAAAGGAGAAGTCCTGCTATGGAGCCTCGGCGATTCCCGAGAAGAACGATGAGGATATAGCAGCTTTATCACTTTCTGATGGAGAACAGGAAGTTTTTGCTACAAGAAGTGGAAACGAGTACCATTATAGGTATCCGGAAACCTCAGATCCAAATGCCAAAACTCTTACGGAGCTGGGGGTAGCCATAACTCCACCAGTAGCAGCTGAAAAACCTCAGAAAGTTGTTAAGCAAAAAGAAAAAGAACCTCAACACAGAGAGGTTCAAATTCCGAAGCAGTCTCGTTTTAGTCGACCGATTGGACGAGACAAACCGGAAAGCTCGAACGC